CAGTAGACGCACACTCTATTAGGCACGTTACCTTTACCGAGCACATCCTAATGCTAATTGTGTGTAAATTTGGTGACATTTAATGGCGTCTGTTCAATTTAATAGACATTTCTTTACATCTGTAGAAATCACAATGAAACATTGGATTTGAGGGGGTACCTGTTATAAATTTACCTAAATGGTATAAAATGTGTATATTTTCACCACTATTTTGTATTTTTTGAACCATTAATCATGTTAGACATGGTATCTGGAATAAAAAGCACTAGTTATAACAATTTACACCTGTGAGCTGATCATTTGTAATTAAAGTGCATGAAAATAGGGGTGGGACAACCTTTTGAACCAATGTTGTACGTTGGGGATATTTTCAAGTTAAAAAGAATGAATGCATAAAAAGGTAGTTGTATTTTTGTTGAATTGGACATTCTAGTTGTTATTGATGAGCGCGGCTCTACCCCAAAACGTTTCGCCCAAGTCAACACGGAAGCTCCTAATCCGTCAATTGTCTCTTACCTAATATATGTTATTGTCAAATCATTCGTTATAATGTTGTACAATTTACGCATCAAAATCGCATTATTGCGTGACACAATGTTTCTGGTGTGTTAGGTTGCAGGAGCCGCTGGTGTGATTCCAAAAAAGTGTGTGTCATCTTGCTCCGCTGGAGAAAATGTGGCTGCCTTGCAAGCCGTCTATGTGATATATCTGCCCCCTGCAGAATCTGTCTATTTGTAGCCTTCCGTGAACGTCACATTGAGTTTATTCTGTAAAGTATAGCTACCAGTAATACATTTTGCCAATCATTTACAAATTAGCGAAAGACAAGGTGCGAATATGTTTTTATGCTAAGGCCAGTTAGATAAGAAAAAAAATGGATATTAAAAAATGTAACCAATCATTTTTGCACATATACTACCGGTATGCTCTACATGTATAGGCATTACTTTTTGTTTTCTCCGTGTAATACAGGGATGCTGAAACAACTCTAGGCTGTAAGCAATTGTGTCAGTATGTCTTATGTTGTAAATATTAGTGGACTGGAGTTTCTTACACGTCAACGTTTAATGGAGAGTTATTACATGTAGTAGAGGAAAAGGGGAATGACGTGCATCAATGAAGTTTTTTTGACATAAACAAATTGATTCCGCCTCCATCTTGGTACCATAATTCGAATGTAAACCGCATGTATAATGGTGAATACGTTGAAGCATCAATGCAACTGTAAATTCTCATGTAATATTTTCGCATATCCTTGCATATTTTTATATTGTTTTCTTCGTGTAAGTCTATTTTATTTATAGATATTCTCAAAACGGCAAGTCGGATGTTCTTCATTCTCACCTAGGCAGATTTAAAATTAACCTAGGCCAGATTGAAAACGCTGCAGGGATCTTTCCAAATCGAACCGCCAGAATCGCCGCATCACCGTCTCAATGAGACATGCCTTTTAATATCAACTATGCTAGATAAAACATGCGCGCTCTTTCGGGTTATATCGACCCCCCGTACTATCTCCCCATACTATTACTCCCTGCACCAAAACTACTTGACGATGTAATGTGTTACTTGATATTAATTTAAATGATGCCGGTAGATGTCTCAGGTGTACAGATTTGGATCTTTCCCTGTAACTTTGCGTGATATATCCTGATTGGTTACAGAGGTAAAACTTTTCACTGTATAACTTGCTCTGATTGGCGAACGTGTACATAACTGAACTATTTATAGGGATTTAGGCAAGTATGTTGCGTTTGTTTGTCGACGACCGCGTCGCCCCCTTCCCAAGTAAATTTGACATCGTGCCCATCGCTACCACCCCACGTCCGTAAATCCCCACATCAATACACCCCCTGTAAAGTTAGCGTTAAGCGTTTCTCCTCCACACCGGTACTTCCCCGCATCTTGCTTCCCTACGTATACATCTTTACTCCCCTACATTATTATCTGCATGGTTGATTATTCCTCCGCATTATTACTTCCCTTTGCAATTTTCACATTACCGACATTGTTACCCATTAATATCATGTTAAAGTAGGCCATAAACATTTTGCAAGTTGGCTAACGAGCCAGGAGCACGGTCTACCCTGAAATGGGGGATTTTTTTTCAAATGGAGAAATGCACTAGTTCAATTTAACGACGGGTAAATCCTTAACGATGCTGCTTTTATGCTTTGAAATCACTTCCACTTTGGATTTGACATACCCCTTTGAACAAACAATATTCTTTGTAAAATTTATCCTCGTTTTGGATTCTAAAATTGTCAACAAGTTAAGAAAATTTTGTGAACTTAAATGAAGGTAAACAGGCGGGACGTATCATTTTCTGTAAACTTAGTTTCCTAAATTTCAATTGAGCCCGTCACATCGAAACTGTATTTATTAATTCAAACAGGACAAAAAGAAAGACAAATGAACTTTTGTAGATAATATAATTTTCCTTTATTAATACGGGGAATTGATATGAATAAAAATAATAAGCATCTTATCATCCAAATTATCTAAATACTTTCAATGACAAAGGAATGAGAACAAAATCCACTTTAGTGACTATAATCTTATTCCACTGATTATTGTTTTTTCTGCTAGTAATCCTAGATACATGTACTTCATCATATAAAACAAAACAAAACACTTATTCACGCTTTACGTTTTACTTTTAAATATCTACATGTAGATAACACTACATAACTATATCTGGTCTGATAACAGAACGTATGTAACATGTATAATTATCATAATTACTAGTTTAAATGCTCTGAAAGTAATTAAGCAAACAGATGCATCTTTTTGAATACATTACATTGTGTTTTAGTTTAGTATATAACATATCTATCTACTATCTCATTATGTCAACATTACTTGCTTCTACTTGTATGCAGAACTGAGCATGTACTTATATAAACATAACATTCTGTTCCCGCTGATAATATAAGACATGCATGTATGAAAATAAGTCGTTGTAATGTGTATGAAATCAGGAAAATGTGACTATGCACTTTCCAAATAATACATCTGGTTGTTTACCGGCTGATGATACATGTGCATATCAGTTTACAAGTCGACGATCTGTTCACAATGTCAGTACGAAATGCCACTACTCCGTGCGATTTTAATATTACATCGCATTATGAGTCCATTATGTTCAGTCGATAACATAACATAACACACATGTACAAACTCGTTATATAGTCCGGCCAAAGCCAGATGAAGGTGCTACAGTACTACGCACACACATTCAGGATGTATTACATGCAGTATACGTCTTATCTTTAATAATTTAGATAGTTGTTAAATAGCTCACAAATAATAATGTACCATAGAATAAGTTATATCCTACTTGACAGTTTTTCAGCCCATAATATAACTCATATGTTTATAACTAGTTATATTGCTCACATATTCTGATTGAGCTGGCAAGGTGGGTCTAATATGCATGTCTCAGAGGAGATAATGTAACTTCAGCACGTAAAAGAATCAGGACAGGCAAATACAGATTGTGGGGGTGCCCGGGCGTCTATCAATTTTTACTGTCTTCTCCACGTTGGTTCATATGCACCTTGAATAACTCGCAGAATTTTAAAATCTAATGTTTTTATATGCATTTCCTTAAAGGATCAGCTACATGTAGAAGAGCTCCATCCACCCCCTTCACGACGCTACAATCTGAATTCACCACCATCAACTTCTAGTACTTCTTAAATACAAACATTTGTACGGAATTCCAGCTTGTTACATCTTACTGTGAAGCAGATATCCTTGCAAGATTTTATGTGGACTACTCTTTATTAATGCCCCGCCAATCTGGACCATTTTTTTTTTCAAATTTTATTTCAAATTTTGACTCAGATCCACCTGTGAAATTGTCGCTATCAATCTACTCGTAATACACGCGAAATAAGTCTAACCCATTTATATAAAAAATTATGGTATATACTTAATTGAATATGCCAAACATATCATAACCCCTCTATTTAAAAGGGGGTATGTGAGGTTAGAAAAATAAGCTAAGATGGTTTTTAACAGAGTCTAAGAAAAAGCTAAATACCAGTAGGCTACATGTTTTTCTTAAACTTTATAATACACATAAAGTGTCAGTCGTTCGGCTTAAACTTTGTTGTCTACATCCATATACATATAATATACAGTGAAATTCACTCTACCTGTGATATCAATTCTGTCATGTCTACAGATATATACAGTACATACCTGCATTATATACAGTGAATATCAGTCTACCTGTAGTATCAATTCTGTTATGTCTACAGATATATACATATTATATACAGTAAACTTCAGTCTACCTGTATATCAATTATGTTATGTCTACAGATATATACATATTATATACAGTGAACTTCAGTTTACCTGTATATCAATTCTGTCATGTCTACAAATATAAACATATTATATACAGTGAATGTCAGTCTACCTGTAGTATCAATTCTGTCATGTCTACAAATATAAACATATTATATATAGTGAATGTCAGTCTACCTGTAGTGTCAATTCTGTCATGTCTACAAATATAAACATACTATATACAGTGAATGTCAGTCTACATGTAATATCAATTCTGTTATGTCTACAGATATATACATATTATATACAGCGAATGCCAGTCTACCTGTAGTATCAATTCTGTCATGTGTACAGATATATACATATTACATACGGTGAATTCCAGTCTACCTGTAGCATCAAATCTGTAATATCTACAGTTATATACATATTATATACAGTGAATGTCATTCTACCTGTAGTATCAATTCTGTTGTGTCTACAGATATATACATATTATATACAGTGAATATCAGTCTACCTGTAGTATCAATTATGTTATGTCTACAGATATATACATATTATATACAGTGAATGTCAGTCTACCTGTAGTATCAATTCTGTCATGTGTACAGATATATACACATTACCCCCTGTATATACAGTGAATGTCAGTCTACCTGTAATATCAATTCTGTCATGTCTACAATAAATTATACCTAGTATAATCCTTTCAGCCTTGTAGTCTCGTCATAAAGAGCATCTCGAAATTGACCAAAGGCGCGTCCTGCCTCGGGGCTATTCTTGCCATCCCTTAACTTCTTCACTAGTGCTGATACTCTCGACGGCTTGGTTGGTTCTCTCATCACTGCATCAATATCTGATTGTGTTATAACGTCTTTTGAATGTAATCTCTGCAGGAGCTCTTTGAAGTTATCTTCAGAAAGCATCACGGCCATGTCCGGTAATCTGACATATGGAAGCGTCAATTATTGGATCAGTTATAATGTTAATATTAACGCTATTCATTTGCGTCTTTTATATTTAAAATTGCAATGCACCTTGCCCAACAATTTAAATAATAAAAGAATGACAATAAGACCTCGAAAAGATACTGATAATTATTGAGAATATATTGTGTCATTCTCTATGACAATTTCAGTTTCTGTCGCAACTTTAAATAATAATTCGTGGAAATACTCAAAAATAAAATGTTTTTATAACTTATTATTTTAAATATTTTTAAGTACTCGTTTTTCTCAAAATATGTCAAACTAGTAAAATTATTCCACCCGTATTTTTTCAATCTGCATGTACTAAGAACATTCGCAATATTTAATTTCAATGATGAACAGATCATCAGATGGCAATTGCAAAAGAATTGCAACTCAATAGACCAGATGAATAAATCGTTACTCATTTGGCAGCAATCAGTGGGTCTAATTGTAAAGACGAGTTAAAGATTAAAAACTGACAACAACGCAAGCACAATATGTGAGCGATTTAAGACCAAGTCTAGCAGCTTAAGCTTGGAAAAAAAACACACCTCAAAAGTTGAACAGTTCCAACATGGCCACTATCATGAAGAGCACCACAGAATATGTAGAACGCGGAATCATTCTTTCTCCGAAGAAATCCAACAAGTCTGTCTTCCTCTCCCAGCACCAAGGACGATGTTTTCTCTTTCTCTTTCTCTGTTATTACATCAGCTTTAACGAGGCGACCTAGTACCTCTTGGGGGGAGCCTCGGACATCATCTACAACTTGCACCAAGTGTTTCTCAAGTGACGTGTAGTGCAGCTCTGTCATTTTCCCTTCAAATATGAAACGGAAAAATATTACTCTCTATTTAAATGCCACATTTGATGGTTTCGGCAAGTGAACTATCTTAACTTAAAACGGACTCCCCGTCCTGCTCAATAGGTAACACCAAATAAAATATCAGTTCTTATGTGTGGCCAAAGAGTTTTATACACAGTGTAAATAAAAAGTATGATATCAAAATATATTCACCCGCAGTTACTGGATAGTAGAAGTCTGCAGAAGCCATAAACCTAGGTTCTTCTTCTGGACACGGGTGGTAAGGAACTGGTGAATCAGAGGGAACACTTAGGAGAGTGACAGGAATGTCAAACAGCGTTGGTGGAATGCTCTCTTCGTGGACACAGTGTGGACAAACCAGGAATTCATCCCGAGGAGAACCGGGACATTCTTTTTCTGTCAAGGATAGAAGGTCTTGAAATATCCTCAGGCTGTATTTCTTCACTTGGATGGGATCATTGCCACGTATGGAGAGTCGAATAACTCCGTTGGATGACGCACCAGGAACTTCTCTTTTGAGACAAATTTGACTCTGGTTGTCAAGCTTTGCATAGAAACCATGTTTCCAGTCTGTTCTCGTTGCCTTGAATTGCCCCAAGTGGCCATGGAGATGCACTGCCGCCATTTCATACAGTCCAGTGGGACAAGTGATTGGAAAATGGAGTTCAGTGGTAATCTGCGATTCATCTCTGGATGGAACAGCGGGCCAACTGGAAGAAACACCTTCAGGCAGATCTTCGTCCAATAGCCATGGGAAATGATACTTATCTTCATCTACACCATTCACAACGTAACAAATCTCAAACTTTTCAAGCAACTCTAACATGGCGTCGAGACCCTGTTTACCAAAGTTGAATCTCCGCCACAAACATTCCAACATGGTTCTACTGATGATACCTCTTCGCAGCACATCTCTCTTGGCAGATTCAAATATCTCAAGGGTGAACTTCTGCTTGAAAGGGTCGGAATCATATACAAGTATAGAACCAATATCATGACGGAGAATTGCCTTCAAGATATCAATGAAAACATCTTGTCTGTGGAATATGAAGGTCTTCAGCAACGGCTTATCTCTGAACCAAAGAACAGCGCCTGTGGCATGCAAGAAACTCAGCACGTCTTCAATTCTTTGAGCATCTTCACCTCCCTGCATTTGTGATGCTTTCAACCCTGTCATGTTAACAAGGAACTTAAGTGTTAGGAAAGGATCTTGTTTACTACGCTTTGCCGTCTCAATGTGCTCCACCTGCTGCAGCCAAGACTCTGGCAATATATATTTCTTTTCTCTCGATTTTCTAACCAACACTTCCTCGAGTTCGGCTACTCCATGGCGATTTTTGGAGCTGATGACAAACAAAAGTTCGTCTACACGTGGTGGAGTCTGAATAAGGCTTTCAATTCGCAGCATTTTTTCTTTGTACTCCAATTTAAGCGATTCTTTATCTTGACTTTTCTTCTCTAATTCCTCAAACCTTGCTCTAAAGCTGGATGCCATGTCACCTAAGTGGGAACTGAGAGCATTTGAAAGCTCTCTCTTTACTTTGTCTACTTCTTCACTGCTCAGGCAATCAGCATGTGTACCTACAAGCAGTATAGCTGAATCTGGCGCCCTGCTGTAAACGCTATCTATCCAGCTTCCGACTGCTGCTTGATAATTCAAAGATATATTCTGAAGATTAAACACTATCAGTGTGACAGCTTCTTTGGTTATGAAGAAGTTATGCGCGACCTTGTAGACGTCATGCCCCCCGAAATCATTAATGTTGAGAAAGACGTCTTCTTTTGGTGACCATGGAATCTGTTCCATGACGTGCGTTCTATCTGCCTGTCTTGTTAAGAAAGGGCTACCGGATGTCAAAGTTTTCACCAGACTCGTCTTCCCTGCACATGATTCACCAATGACTTGTACTTGTAGTCTAAACGATGATGTTTCCTCGGTTTTGACTAAATCATCAAAATACCTCTTAATAGCTTCTATCCCACGTTCTGCTACTTCTTGTGGAGGTTGTTCTAGGTTGTTCCCAGACAGGCTGAATTTACTGAGACTAGACAGTTGACGTACTTGAGAGGGCAATCGGGTCAATTCATTTTTATCCAATTCAATGATTTTTAGCTTTTGTAGTTGTTCAATTTGTTGCGGGACTTTGCTGATTCTATTGTTTTTAAGGTCGATCGTCTCCAGGGTCACTAGCTCACATAATGAAATTATGAACTCTTCCAAATGGTTATCAGAAAGGTTCAATTCCTTCAGATTTGTAAGTTGTGTTATCTGAGGTGGTACTGTAGTGATGTTGATGCCCGACAGGTCAAGGGTCTCCAGTGTCACCATCTCACACACTGACATAGGAAATTCTGTCAGCTTGCTCAAGGCCAGGCTCAATTTCTTCAGATTCTTTAGCTCTGTTATTTGAGACGGCACTGTAGTGATGTTGGTCGTTGAGAGGTCAAGGGTCTCCAGCGTCACTAGCTCACACACTGCCATTGGGAATTCTTCCAACCAATTAAGAGAAAGGTTCAATTCCTTCAGATTCTTAAGTTGTGATATCTCAGGTGGCACATAGGCGATGTTGTTGTTCGAGAGGTCAAGGACCTCTAGTGTTTCCAGCACAAATAATGACAGTGGAAATCCCCCTAATGTGTTATTAGACAAATTCAATTCACTAAGATTTGTGAGCTGCTCTAACTGCAGTGGCACTGTAGTAATACTAGCACCATCCAGATTAAGACTCTCCAAGTTTTTATTATTTAATATTGTAAGTGGGAATTCTTCTAAAGGATTCCTGGAGATGTCTATTTTCGTCAACTTGCACAGTCTTTCCACTTCTGGCGTGATGGCTGTTATGTTGTTGTTCCTTAGATCAAGCTCCTCTAATGCCACTAGGTCACAAAGTGGCAGAGGTATCGCCGGCAGCTGGTTACCTGATAAGTTAAGCTTTCTCAATTTTTGGGGCATGCCTATTTCTGGCGGAATGAAAGTAATGTTGCAATTGGACATGTCTAAGTCTTCGAGTGCCTCCAGACTAAAAATTGTAAGAATTAAGTCTTTTTCTACAAATTCATTATTGGAAATATTAAGCACCTTCAATTTTGCGCAACGTAGTATGCTATTTGGGATTCTGCATTCCGGTTCTGTTATGTTAAGTTGTGTCCATGTTTCTACTTGGTCCGTGCCTGGTCCTTGGTAACTTGGATCTTCATCCAGTTTATACAGAATATCTAGTTTTTCCTGGTCACTACATCGCATGAAAAATGATTGCATAAGGCTTGAACCTAAACCCATTTTCTATTTAATTGGGATCTTCAAGTATTTACTACCTGTTTTAGGCAAGCATGGTTATTGGTGAGTACATCGTGTGTTGGTTCCTTTACTGTCTCTGCCAGCACAGAAAAGTAACGGTATGTTCATTGCCTGCCTGCAGTGGGTTAAGTGTTGTTTCCTGGATGTTCTCTACTAGCACACAAAGTTATCAGCAATTCAACTGTCTCCCTCACTACATACTGGTTGTTAGTTCCAGTACTGTTGTCTTTGACTACACAAAGGTACGGGTATGTCGACTGCCTCCCTGCACCGGGATGATTATTGGTCTTTACTGTTCTGTGCTAAAACACAAAGGTACCAGTATGTCATCTGTCTCCCTGCACTGGATTCAGTTTTGATTCGTTAACTCTTCTCTTGAACACAATGATATAAGTACATGTATGTCGACTGTCTCCCTGTAGTAGACTGGGTGCATGATTTCAAAATGATTGATTTCAAACAAGTGCCGAAACAGTATAACCCCACAGTATAACCCCAAATAATTTTAATTTAATTAAAATGTATTTCAATTAACATTACTTGTTTTTTGTGAAACTGAAAGTGTACGAAAAATAACTTATAGTTTGAAGTAAGTTCATTCGTGTGAGTGAATTAGAAAAGTGCGCAGAATATGCATGATGTAAGAAAAAGGCACGTCCAAATGTACATGGCGATGAGGAATCTACGCCACTGGTGAAGATGTGCCAATGTACTAGTAAATCAGCTCACATTAGTGCTTCATTATTTGTTGAACGATAACTGAATATGTAGTATTTCATGCAAAAACTCTACACTGAAAATAATTACGGAGCAATTTTTTGTAAACAATACAAATATCCAGTTGCAAAAAAAAAAGGATATCAGTTACGTGGTGACATGTCTGCGTAGAGAAGAAGAACGAGTGAATCAGATGGCAGATTATATGACGCCATTGTGCTCGGTTGCCTATGAGACAGGTAGCAAGCTAACACTTGGAAACACCAAGATAAGTTTTCAGATTGGTAGCAAAATGGCGCCAAGCTCATCATGTAAAGGGCATGGCTCGTTCTGGAAGACTGATATTAACCAACGCAAGAGATAGAAGATGTCTGTTCAGACTATGCCACAAGAACCGGTGTAAAGGAAATGGATGTCCGCCGTAATGCATGTCCGTAGGACATGTATTCCTAGGAATGAATGTCCTGCGGACACTAAGTCCTGGGAATGCATGTCCTGGCTCTTCCATGTCTAGGAATGCATGTCCTAGGACATAATTTCCTGGCATTTAACGTCCAGTGGACACTCATTACTTAGTATTCTAAGTCCTGCAGACAGGTATCGATGTCCTAGTCGGACATATTTTCCCAGCTGACTAGTAATAGATGTCCTCTGACATTTTCATTTGAATGATGTGTTAATTTAGAAGTTTTAAACGTGATGTTTAAAAATCTCATTCAGGGCCGTAGCCTGAGCAAAATGCCAGGGGGGGGGGGGCAGTAAGCGGACAAGAGGGGGCGAAGCCCCCGAGGGGGGAGGGTTTGGGAGGTGGTGTCCTCTTCCCACGGTGTGGACAATTTTAAAAACTGTATATATAATACTGCATTCTGGTGCATTTTAACTGTAATTTATTGCTCAATCAGAAGCCAGAAATTGTGGGTTCAATTTGCCTGGGGGATAGCTCCCTAAAAGAGGGTGAGCTTTTTGGCATTAACTGAGTTGGCTAAAAACAGTACACCTTTGTAAACAGATTGTTGAATGATTGTATAGTGGCCATGAGTGCATTTTCTCACAGAATTGATACCAATTTTGCAGTTTTTTTACCTTTGCGATTATTCTTTTTTGCACCTCAAATCCGAGGAGGGGGGAGCTCCCCCCCTGCCCCCCCGGAGGCTATGGCCCTGTTATTACGGTTATTATAATTGTTTGTAAACATGTACCCCTATACACTCTTTATTCGGCTAACTTAAGATATTTTAGATAAACGAAAAAATTACTATATATATATATATATATATATATATATATATATATATATATATATATATATATATATATATATATTTGATTAATATGAAAAAAAAACAGTATGAGATTCGCGCCATTCACTGCACCTTGTGAAATATCTCGGCCTCTTCACATTATATAAATGCCTTGATTGTTGTTAATCGGCCATTCACATACAACTGTATGACTGGGATATGTAGCTTTGGATTTTAGCTCGTGCCCATTTCTAACCAATACGTTTTTTGCCCTTATACACATCACATTATACGTTTTACAGGGTGTTTTTCGGTGAAATACGAGTGTGTGAAATAATACACAGCCACCCTCTCGCGATATACTCACTTACAAGTACGTGTTGAACACTTCTGGATGACGTTCGAGCTGTTTTGGCACTGGTATACATATCGTTCGGGTGACAGTTAATTATTTTATACTTGGTGCCTTGATGATCATTGGGAGAATTTATAGTTAGAGAAACCTAATATGCAGTTTGAGACTGTAAATGAAACGTGTATAATTGCAAGTTAATAAATTGAATGTGTCTGTTATTGTTTATATTAGACTTAACATTCTTCTGAGCGCAGTTTTTGCCTTCATATGGATCCCGAATTTCCCATTTTAATTCTTTGTATATTTAGGTGAAAGTAGAAAGCATATGCACATTTGCGTACAATTAGCCACTGAAATTTGCCCACGGCTTCGTATATTCTCCCTTGAGTTAGTAAAGGAATTCTAAAATAGCTCAACTTTAAAAAATGATATTTAAATCAAACATTTAAAATCTCGCCTCATCTAAATTGTATAACAACATATAGTGCGTTTAGTACGTTGAAATGGAGAATAAATTAGGATAACATTTGCATAGAGAGTAACATCGCTGATGAGGATTCGAACTCACTTACGTTTCTCTACGCTGTTGGTTATTCATCCAGCCGTCTTATTGATGAGCCTGTGTGGAAGCTGCTGGCAGCCGACTGAAAATTACCGATACTTGTGGCCCCGTGTTCATAATTATTGTACGGACGTAATTATGTAGGACTGTGAAAGGAAATTATGTCCGACAGGAATACATGTCCTAGCTGCGTATACATACAGCTGGGAATCTAGGTCCGGGTAGGACAGTACATCCTAGGGAACGCACGTCCATAGGACATGTTTTCCTAGGAACGGAGGTCCGTAGGACATGCATTCCTTCGGGGGGACATGCATTCTGGGGGACATGCATTCCTTTCACACCGGTTCGTATCGATCCAATAGACAAACAGTTAAAAGGCATATTTTAGAAACTGGACCTAGAAACCGTCTAGAATAACCCGTAAAAAGACCGTTGTTGAACAACAGACACAAGCAGCTAAGATTGCCATGGGCCAGATACCCATGGGCCAGATACTGAGAAAGACCAAAGCCCAGGACTTGGCGAAGGATCACGTTTACCGACGAGGATGATTCAATTTGTTGTATCCAGATGGTCAGTCAAGAGACCGTAATGGTGCAAAACAAGTCTTTTTGGGTGGTTGTCTTTTCCCACGTGCTTAGGGTGGAAGAGTATCCGTCATGGTTCTGGGCAGAAAAGGATGACACCTTTAAATGCACTACTCCCCAAAATGTTAGGATCAGTCTTAAACTTTGAATGATGTGTACGTATTACATGGTCCCTCCTTTACCTGAAATGTCACAACAGAGAGATTTCCTTTACTGACATACTGATAATGAAAGTGGGTAGAAAAAACGAACCTTTAGCAATAGTCGTGGCACGCATTATCCTAATTTTAACGCTAGAATTTTGTTCTAGTGGCTTATTGTTCTTAATAATCAGTTAAATCACTTACATTTTTGTAGCACGACAAAGAGAGTCCTAAATGTGCCTCGTGGACGAAGTAGAACAATAATATGGTGACGACAACGAAAACACAAGCTTAGATTGGTTAGAATATTGTCATTGCTTTAAGTACACTATTAGCCACCTTTCACGAGTTAAAAACTTTTTTTATTTTCAAGGAGGTAGGTACTCTCCTTATACCAACCTTGTTATCGTAAAAATAAAATACACAACAAAAAGGCAACATAACAAAATTAGGGCGTCTTCTTGTTGTATTTTTGCATCAATTATCAACTCTCGACTTTCCTTTTCACTTATTTGAGCAAAAAAAAAAAAAAAAAAAAAAAAAAGGAACTGTACCACCAGCGTTAGCGCTGGCGGTACACATAGTCTTCCCAGCAGGCATAGTTGCGTTGGATCAACGTTGAAAACAGGTTGATACGTTGAATTGCCGTTGATCTACCTAAATTCAACGTAAAATCAACGTTGATCCAGCCACGTCAAAACACCGTCATAATGTGATGTTGACTCAACGTTGTATTTTGGTCATCGTTGTATTTTGGTCATTGACACAACCTTGCAGTTATGGATTGTAATTTAAAATATTAATTATTGAAAACGTGATACTTAGGCTATCAATACTAAAACTAAATTGATCAAAAAAAAAACAAAACAAAATGGTTATTAAGTAAAAGTGACAGTTGATTTGTGTCTGTAGTGAACTAGTGAATTTTCTTAACTTGGCATTCAGAAATACATTCCAAGAAACTGAATTCCTTGCAAGGTCAGCTAACACTAGGACGAATAAGTTGCTGTAAATGTGATGGAGTGAAGTCAATAAAGTTGACAGTTCTTCGTTACCTGTTATAGATAGGTTGAGGTGACTGTGATATATATATATATATATATATATATATATATATATATATATATATCACTGTGATATATATATATATATATCACAGTCACCTCAACCTATCTATCCTAACTTTATATAGTAGTCTAAACCTTGGAAAATTTAACTTTAAGGCCATACATTTATACCCTACATATATTTAGCCATCAACGTGTCCTACTGCTAAACACATCCAGGCTAAAAGGGTGTACCATGCTTGAGTGCAAAACATGCTTAGGAGCTAAATGCGTTTACTTTGTAATTTCCCGCGGGGTGGGGTTGATA